GCAGAAGAAGCAGCAGGCGGCGCCGTCAAGAACATGCGGCCGATCAGAAGCAGTGCAGAGGGTGCGTCCGTGCACCAGGAAGACGTCCAACGAAACTCCGAGGAGGATCCGGACGAGGACGTCGACCGTCTACACCCCGCGAAGGAAGGAAACCAGAAGGGAAGCTCTTCGGCTCCGCTCAAGTGCATCGGCTGTGGAGGTCGCCACAGGAGAACCGACTGCAAGTTCCGCTCCGCTACCTGCCGGGCATGCGGCAAACAAGGGCACATTGCAGCTGTGTGTCTGGCCCGACGAAAGGCACAACCCCAAGAAGAACGCCTGAAGGGTACCAGACTTCCCAGCCAGAATAGGGTAGGTTTTTGCGCTTCGCGAAGAAGCATCTGTAGGACAGGCACACACAAGCCCATGAAGAAAAAGCTGTCACTCAACGTGAAGCTACAAGGGGTTCCATTATCTATGGAACTAGACACAGGGTCTGCCCTTTCCATTATTTCATTGCATACATTTAGGAAGATTTGTTCCAGTAGTGGGACTAAGGCCAAGTTAAGGCCTTCTGATATTGTCTTAACAGATTTTCAGAACTCAAGAGTGTGTGTTAAGGGGGAGGCCACCCTTAACGTGCAATACAAGAGTTGTGAAGGTCCACTAGACGTATTAGTAGTAGGGGGTGAACGAACGAGTCTCATAGGACTCGATTGGTTTGAGGCCCTGGGGATACACGTCACAGGACTCAACAGTTTACAAAACACTCGACCTACAGGGAAGTTGCCAAAGAATTTTGCAGCTGTTTCAGCCCCAGCGGGCACATTCAAAGGACCACCTGTGTCTAAAGCTAGACCCCACTGTTCAATCAGATTAGGATTAAAGCAAGAAGGGTCCCTTTTGCTTTAAAAAGTAAGATTGATACTGAATTAGACAAACTAATCCAACAGGGAATCCTAGAACTTGTTGATTCCAGCCAGTGGGAGACCCCCATTGTCACGCCTCTAAAGGCAAATGGGGACATTCGCATTTGTGCTGATTACAAATGCACACTCAATAAGCCATTGCAGCAACATGCCTATCCTGTTCCTGTGGTCAGTCACATCCTGGCCTCTCTCAAGGGGGGGGCGTGTTTTTGCAAAGCTTGACCTAGCTCAAGCATATCAAACAGGGGGGCCTGCCTGTTGAGATGATGCTGCCATAGCTCAGACCATTGTGACCCACAGGGGAGCCTTTAAGGTAAAAAGGCTACAGTTTGGAGTGAATGTCGCTCCTGGGATTTTCCAAAGCGTAATGGAAAACACACTACGAGGTATACCAGGGTTCTGCCCCTACTTTGACGATGTCTTGATTGCAGGAGACTCCACACACATTCTAGCTGAAAGACTTAGGGCTGTCCTGGTAAGATTCAGGGAATCAGGCCTCAAGCTCAGAAAAGACAAATGCAAGATCGGGGTGCCTTCTACTGAATTTCTGGGATTCAAAATTGATGCTGCTGGGATTCATCCTGCTGAATCCCAACTAACTGCTATTTTACAAGCACCCAGGCCAAAGTCTAAGGCCGAACTTCAGGCCTTCCTAGGCCTCCTGAAGTTCTACAATTCTTTTCTTCCACATAAAGCTAGTGTAGCTGAGCCTCTTCACAGGCTACTAGACAAACAAGCTGTGTGGCTGTGGTCACAAGCACATGAGGCTTGCTTTAAAGAAGTCAAGGCCTTGCTCACTTCGAACAGTGTTCTTGCACATTTCAACGAGTCTCTTCCTGTGTGCATCGCTTGTGATGCATCCCCCTACGGGGTTGGAGCTGTCCTGAGTCACCTCAGGTCTGATGGAACCGGTTCCTATTGAATATACTCCAGAACCTGTCTTCTTGCCGAGCGCAACTACGCTCAGATAGAAGGTAGGCTCTGGCTGTTGTGCTGGAATTAAAAAATCAATGATTTCTAGAGGGCAGGTCATTTCACGGTCTTCATGGACCATTAGCCCTTCTGGGACTGTTTTACCCACGTAAGTGCAGGATCCCAAATTCCTTTCCCCTAGAATGCTTAGTTGGTCTATTTTTTGTATGATTATGATTTTTCCATTACGCACAAGCGGGAAAGAAATGGGGCAATGCTGATGGCCTCAGTAGGTTGCCTCTGCCGTAAGTAGAAGCATGACCCGCGCAGCGCAAAATTCATCAATCCAAGCCTTGCCCGAGCTCCCTCTTAGTGCCAGGGATGTTGCCGCTGAATCAGGTACAGATCACACACTTTCACGTGTCCGTTCCTGGGTTTTGTCTGGTTGGCCCTAGTCCTGAGTTCAGAGTTTCTGGTCCAAAAGGAATGAGCTGTCCCTTTCTCAGGGTTGTCTGCTTTGGGGAAACAGAGTTGTCATTCCCACCTCAATGAGGACTAGGGTCTTAGAATCCCTCCACGAGGGTCATCCTGGCATTGTTCGTATGAATGCTCTTGCACGCAGCCACTTGTGGTGGCCTGGTTTTAGATAAGGATATTGAGGCTCAGGTGCATGCATGCCACCTGTGCCAACGATCTCGCCCAGAGATGCCCCAAGCTCCCGTGCATAAATGGGAGGAAACGCAGTCCCCATGGTCTAGGGTGCACTTGACTACGCTGGGCCCTTTCAGGGCCAGTTCTTCTTGGTCCTTGTTGACAGCCATTCAAAATGGCTTGAGGTTGTGCCTGTCTCATCCACCACCACTGCAAAGACTATTCAGTTACTGAGGGGGATTTTTGCTGCACACGGGCTGCCAGATGTCATTGTGTCCGACAACGGCCCTCAATTCACCTCCTCCGAATTCCAAGCTTTCTTACAGGCAAACCTGATTCGTCATGCCACGTCTGCGCCTTTTCAACCGTCCACCAACGGTATGGCTGAACGCATGGTGCGCATCGCAAAGGACGCCTTGAAGAGACTCACCTCCGGGGACTGGCATCACAGGTTGGCTGACTTTTCCTTTCTATCGCACCACACGTCCAATTCTACAGGGAGAAGTCCAGCTGAACTTCGTTGGGGGGCGCCAACTTACTACTAGGACTTGACCGGTTGCATTCCGGACAGACTGCCTTCATACCCTCACATCCTAGGGCACCTAGACAACTACTCTGTGGGGCGCCCGGTTGGGCTCGCATTACGGGCCTGGTCATACAGGGTCCCTGCTTCTGGTTCCAGGGATCACAGGTCCTCTTCCTACGGTTGGCCCTGGCAACGGTCGTGTCCTGCTGCACTTATCTTAATTTTTTTTTTACCAACTTCGCTCTAGGCGAGACTTTTCTGCTGAGACTCCTGGGTCTTTTCCAGGGGGGGGAGGGGGACCCTTTGGAGCAAAGGGAAGGGCAAGAGCTACTGCCCATCTCCACTGAGGGAGCCACAAACGGCCCATCCCAGGGTTCCGCAATTGCTCCGAAAAGAAAGTCATGGAGCTTACCCACACAACAGGCACTCACGCCTACCCCAGCCAGGGAGTCACCCCGGGGGCATACTCACTTTCCACACACATCACACAGCACTCCAGCAACGGAGGATACCCGGGGGCATCCCAACAAATCATTCCCTGCAAGAGAGCTGGCACACAATTCCCAAGGTTGGCCTGACCTTACCCCAAATCCTACAGGGGGTCAAACATACACAGAGCTAGTCGAGGATCCAAGTCCCGACTACAACACCCCTAGCACAAATCAGGGAACACCTGAGTTTTGGGAAAGTACAGAAACCCACACGAGCCCGAGCACAGAATGGGGTTCAGGGAATGGACAGCCTCCTGACAGGTCTTGGACTGACCTAGGAGGTTCTACAGAGAAGCCCAGCAGTGGCTATCACTTCAAGGGGCCTGAGGGTCTACAGCTAGGTAGGACAACCAGGTCACAAAGCAGCAGAAGCCCTGGCCTGACGAGCCCGGTGGGCAAGCAAGCAGGCCAGGCATCGGGGCACAGTCCTTGGAAGACACCAGGGCACAATAGAGAGAACAGGCTCACGCCTCCCTCCAGTCAGGGGACTTATGCCAGTAACCCAGAGCTAAGAAGGTCACAGAGAGCAAAGAAATCTCCTAAGTACCTAGAAGATTACATAACATTTCTGGCAAGGCAAAAGCCAGTAAACAGTGGGAGCACTGGGGAGCAAATTGTCGTATAAAATAAATGTTGTATGTTGGTAGTAGTTTTAGCCCGGGGGAAAGGGGTGTTATGTCCCGAACCTTGCAAACGGCTCGGGCGTTTGCAGGCAGTCCCGGGCAGGTGCAAAGCTGCCCGGGACCAGACAGGCTGTCGCCAGCGCCGTGCGCATGCGCGGGTGCTGGCGCGGGAAAAGTAACCCATTTAACCGGGAGTTGCCTATATAAGAGGCTGCGAGGCGTTTGGGCGAGGCTGAAGCCATCTTCCTGTAAGCTGAACGCTGAATAAAAGAAACTGAGAACTCCAGCTGCTTCTCGTGTCTATTTTCCCGCCACGGACTCAACAAACCCAGAGTCCAAAAGCTTGGGCAGCACCAGTTTTCAGAGAAATAAGTTTGATGGACAGGGAATGTTAATCCCTTGTCCTGTCTCCTCTTGTGGAAAGTGTCAAAAGGGCACGTCGCGTCTAGTCTCTGGCGGTTCCTGATCGGCTGTCTTGTACCATGCGCCGCTTCTGGAGCTGCCGAGAGCAGTCTCCTCCCGCGGGGGGGGGGAGATGGGTGCTGCAAGGTGTGCTGTTTGTTGCATCTGCCGTTCGATCTCCCCTTCGGCACACCTGAAGGGAAAATAATCCGGAGAGGGTAAAATCCGGAAAGCGGCATCCTCCTTGCCCAAGTATCTTGGCAACAGGACGTTTAAAAAGCAGTGGGTGCCTCAACCACCGGCGTCGAGGACAAGGGCGACGCAGAAGCTCTTCCTAGAGTCCGCCGAGGCTCCGAACTGGAGCGAGGGAAAAGCGCCGCAGCCGCAGCCCCCACGGGGGAAGCGGGCGTGCCGGCAACACCAAGAGCGCGCGCGCGCCAGCCGGCTGCCTGGCGTGCCGAGAAAGGGCGAGGGAGAAGTGCTTTGAGGTAACGCCTGAGGTCCGCCCGCCCGCCTGCCCGCTCGCCTTCGGTCAGACGCGGTGGGGTTTTTTTCCCTAAGGAAAAAGCCTCAACTTATGCCTCACGGGTTCTGTCTGTCACGGAGATGGGGAAGAAGTGGCGGAGTCCCAGCCAAGCGGAGAAAGGCTGCTCCGACAAGGAAGAACTTGGCAGGCGGAGGAGTCGGAGCGCCAGTCGGGGGAGGTTCGCGGAGTCGTGGAAGAGGTTAAGTTCCAGGCAGGGCTCCACCAAACGCTCTGGATTGGCTTCGCAACAACCCCCGGTAAGCTGGGGCTGCCTTGGTCTGGTTTCTCTTTGGCGCCCGTGTGTGTGTGTGTGTGTGTGTGTGTGTGTGTGTGTGTGTGTGTGTGTGTGTGTGTGTGTGTGTGTGTGTGTGTGTGTGTGTGTGTGTGTGTGTGTCGCGCCTCAACTTCTGCCTTGGACGCCTTTCTCTCCGTGGACTTGCCGGGCTTTCTCGGGGACAAGCGTCGAGCGAGGGTCAGTCCCGGTTGGTCAGTTTCGCTCTTTTCGAGAGAATTGGCGCCTGATTCTGACAGGGCGTGGAAGGGAGTTGGGGCTGTTGCTTCTTCGCCAGATCAAAGCGCGAGGCGGGTGTTCGTGTGCAATAGACTTCGTAGCCGTCGGCTATGCGCGCTCTCTCGGGTGAATGGATCGCCCTCGGCGATGGTTTGTTCTCCCCCTCCCCTCCCCCCGCGGCACTGAGGCTGAGGGGAATCCTAAGAAACTGGGCCTGATGTGCGAGTTTCTGTGGAGAGACACCCCCCCTTCCCCAAATATAAGTACTTTACAGCAAATAAAAGCAGGATCACTTCTCGAACCCTCTTTTCCATGGGGTTCTTTCAGCATAAAGGCTAGGTAAGGAAGGGTTAACTGAACACAACGCCGTTCTTTTTTCGAGATTTTTGGAGCTAACATCGGCTCCTTTGACCCATTTTTCAATGATAAAGGGGTTCTCTTCATTGTCTGCCATCCATTATGCCACTACAACACATTTCTCTCTAGTGTAAACTTCCCCCTACTGTTGACTGCAATACTATGTAGGTGATAATGAACGTTGCACGTGCTGGTAACCTACAAATGCTGTCGTTCTTCAGAGCTTACAAGACAGGAGGAAATCTTGTCTTTAGTGAAGAGATGTCCTTAATGCTAAATCTGAGTACAATACAGAGCAGTGAAATCCACCTGTTACTAATACCTACCTATCTCGCCAAACCTTGCTATATACTTCATTGAATAGGTCTCGCCATATACATTTAACTGAACAACTTGGTGATTACCTTCTGGACTGCTGTTAATTTTTCTGTGTCTTGGTATATGATGTGATTATTCTGTTTGTAATTTACTGTTGGCTTTCTAATGCATTTGAAGGAAGGGATGATTAGTAGTTTCTTCAATTCTGTATCCATTGTTGGAGAATAATAGATAATTTATTAGACCATTTTGAGATAAGGAGGCTCATAATCCATGCAACAATTAGTTACAATGGCTCAACTGTGAAGAAGAGGACTATATAAATCTTAGGTGGAGAAGAAACACATGAAGCTCAAGTGGAAGGCTAGTGATGTCAGTTGAATAATAGCTTTGCAACATTCATTAATTTTACTTAGAGCATTATTTTAAATAGTTCAAGATCTTGCCTCCCCTTTTGTTAATAGTTTTCTAGTTTCTCTATAAATTATATGTCTGGATTTGCCTGACGATGTGTGCTTACTTTTGAAAGCACCAAGTAAAACAGCAACAGGTTGAGAATCAGAATATAGAAAGCTGAGGAGGGGAACTTAATATGAAATGGATGCCATGACAACCAAAATCTGGAGAATCAACTTGGTTCTGATGTAAACAGATGGCAAGGTATTATTATTTTGACTAGTGGTAAATAAGTATTTAGTTGTAAACCTACTTGTCAAATAAAGCAATATAAATGAGTATCATAAAAAATCAGTATTTCAATAAATCTTGAAATAATAATTCTAATACACCATATACAAGCTGCAAATGAAGGGATACAAAAATTAATGCCTATTATATGCCTGACTTGGAAAGGAAACCCTATACAAATAATTGACAGGCAATTAACTATTAAGATGTCAACATATGTATGCAGAACAAATGTGCATATAATATATTTTCAAGTCACACTATTAAGATGCTTTTTAAAAAGTAGAATTTGGAGTAGGATATGTTTTGACAAGAATTAGGAAATCATTTGGAAAAATGACAGAATTCTATGATTGATTATGATGTTGCTTCATTTGCATAATAAGCTATAATTCAGTTCCCATATATTCAATATACCTCAGAGAAATCATAGTTGTCATTTGAAACATTATTTTACATCTTTTGTTCTATCCCAGAAACTTTTTTTTGAAAAATTGCAAATATGTTTTAATTGTTTTGCTTTCAGAAACAAATTGTTTTGCTTTATTAGTTTAGTTCAAAAACCACTTTGTCTCATGTTCTGAAATGTCCCTGATTATGGAAAAAGTTCTAGATTTAAACTAGGAAAAGTATTGATGGAGAGATCTATGTAAGAATATTTTTATTACAAAGATTTAAAGCTGGGTATATGGTTCCTAATCTATATGGTGGTAAATAAGACTATCTGAACTTTTTAAAATGAGTAATTATATAGTCCTGCTAAACAAGACTGTTGAAAGGAATTTACAGAAATGGGTTCAAATGATTTGTTTCTAAGTAAAGACTAATGTGGCATGGGTTCCTTCACAGAGAATAAGAAGCAGTAATTAAGGGATTAGTATTTTGCTCTCTGAGAGAAAAATCTGAAATCTCTATCTGGGCAAGAGTTTATAAGGACTATCAAAATGGCATAAAAGAGTGTGCAGTTGTTTCATTTCTCCAGGATTGAGCTAGGTGTTAGAAATCAGGAAGAGGCAGAAAGTCCAAAATTTAGGTCAGTTCCCCAGATCCAGAGATTTATAGTTCAAAAAGAGTCCCAGATGGAAGTTGTGGACTGAATGCCAAGTCAGTGTTGGGTGTCACTGGTGTCAAATTACATTAGTATTCAGGGACAAAGGAAATAATTGCGCTCTCTCTCTCTCAGCTCTGAAAGTACAAAATCATTATCACATCTGTTCCAATGATGAGCACTCAGAGGTTCCTTGGTCTAGTAGCATGCAGAAATAAATTCTACAGAAGAATTTCAGTTAGTATCCTATATATAAGGTGAGTGGTTAGATCAGTGTTTCTCAACCTTGACCATTTTAAGGCATGTGGACTTCAACTCCCAGAATTCCACAGCCAGCAATGCTGGCTGTGGAATTCTGGGAGTTGAAGTCCACATGCCTTAAAATGGTCAAGGTTGAGAAACACTGGGTTAGATGGAAAAGCCCAACTGGATTACAGAGTTCCTTCCAATATTATTTAATTCTAGGAGTTTTAATGTGTGTGTGATTTGAAAACATAGGGAAATTGGCATGACCCAGCATTGTTTTGGTGAAGTTCTCCTGCTTCCTTTGGGTTGTTTTCAAATTATTTCAAGACTCAGAAGAATGGATCATAGATCTCTATTGTATGTAATTTGATGTTCTATTGTTCCTGATTCTTGGCTTCTGCATCACTGGTATATGTGATGGTTATGGTACAGTATGGTATCAATATCCATATGCTGAAATTTCAAGTATTCAGGAATGCCTGGAATGATTTTAAATAGTAACTGTTTGGGTTTACATTTTCCTTTTGTAGTTCAATGACTGTGTTGCAGTTGTTGTTTCATCATTAGCAGTAAATTAAAAATCACTCCTCAGTCTCTCAATCTGTAAGGGTTAAGCTGAAATCCTAGGTGTGTTTGCTACAAAATAAATCAAGAGAAACGTTTCATTTAGAGATGTTGTATAAAATCAGTGATTTTTTAAAAACAAATCACAGAATTATGATATAAATCTCACTTGGATTCTGGGTGAAGAACTAAAGAGTAAGTCTGCCTAACGTTAAGTGCTTTCCAAACTATGTTTATTGTGTTTTCATAGATTTTAGCTTATGGGACAGGACCTCTCTACTATTTCTTTTTCTAGTTCACATTTTAGTACCTCCTTGAGGAAAGGAGGAGTCTTGGTGTGAATTCACATGTGAAACTTGTTTGTAAAAGTCAAACTGTCACTGTGTTTGCATCAAGGCACTTTTAGAACTTGCCAATTTTTCCACCAATTTTAAAAAAGACTATTTGCAGTGCTTGATTTAAGTAGAAACTTAAGGACATGAACCAATATTTGTTTTTGTGCAAATGATTTTTTGTACGGTATCTAATTTAATTATGCTTTTGGAGGGATCACTTGTAAAAATTACAGGGTTCTATAAAATACTGCTTGATGACTTGATATTTTTGCTATGATCATTCATGTATCTCAGGAGGGATATTAGGTCTCAAGTGATCAGGTAGATCAGTCTAGGAAATCAGTTCCACAGGAAGGCTAAATCTATTACTGAAATTGGCTACAATAACAGAATCTTGCAAATACAATTTTACTGTACCTTCACCTTTTCATACATCATTGAATTAGGCAGATGTCTGAGCTGCTTTGGAATGTTACCTGGATGTTCTAGACTTAAAAATGCTTTCGCCCATTTTGTCTTGGCCATAATTTCTGCATATCTCCCTCAAAGCCATCTTCCTTACATTCTACAGAAACCAAAGGCTCCATCTCTATCACTAGCATCTCCATCTATGATTATCTAGGAAATAGTAAGAGAAAGACAATGACAAAAAAGCTTTTGTGGGCACCTGGATATGCCAGAACATGTTAGGCTTAATATTTGAGAAGTTGATTAATAAATGTAATCAACTTCAGGTTGATAACATTCTTTGAAAATAATGGTTTAGATTGGCTTAGAACAATGACAACCAATCACTCTGTCTTGCATTGCAAACGAGACTCAACGTTTGATCTTATAAAATTAGTAACAATCTGGAATAATGTTACAGTGGAGGCAATATAAATTTATTAAGTACTTGTTTAGTTTACATCCAACAATATCAGATGCTGGGATTTTTCATATGTCCTAACATTTTGTAGTGGAGAAATTTATATTCCTGCATATGTATTTCACCTTTTTTTGTATCCTCCGTCCTCTGCAGAAAAACAAGCATTATATCATATTATTGAAATTGGTCAGCATTTTACTAAGTGAATGTGAACTATAAAATATTCATTCTTCTTAGTTCTTTTCATGGTGTTAATTTACTTAGAAATTACACACCTGTTTGTTTATAAATCCTTTTGTAATTCAGGTGATCAGTGATTTTAA